CCAAGATAGAAATCGGCTGGTGGTCACACGCTATCATTTCCCCTATAAATTTAGAAATTATTATTGATTTAGGATCAGAATGTTTCGAAATATTAGTTTTATTAAGAATGGCTGATATTGTTGGCTGACTTTCAGGGCTCTTTTTAAAAAATTTGATTTGTTTTTTCTAATATTTCTCGTTCTTTTTGTGTTAGCTTTTCGAATTCCTTTTGATGGCAACGCTTCAGATGTTTCCTAATGTTAGTTGTATTGAACGAATTTTTCAGTATTCCTCCCCGTGAAATTAGAATTCCGCAGATGACGCATTTTGCAAAATTACCTTCATCTTTATCAAAATATTTCCATAATTCAGAAACCATATTTAAAATAATTTTTATTTAAAGTATAAATAATAAAATTGGTGTTATTTTTTAAAAAAATTAAAAATAAATAAAACTTTGGGTGTTCTTTTCTATTTTTATAAAAAAACTTGTAAAATCTATTTAAAAAAATAAATAACATTTGCATTGTATAAAAAAAAATTATTTATAAAATATTATTAATGAAAAATAGAAACTCGAAAAAATTTATTTTTTTATTAATTTTTTTTTAAACAGTGCAAATGTAATTTTTTTTTAAAATAGATTTTACAAGTTTTTTTATAAAAATAGAAAGGAACACCCAAAGTTTTATTTATTTTTAATTTTTTAAAAAAATAACACCAATTTTATTATTTATACTTTAAATAAAAATTATTTTAAATATGGTTTCTGAATTATGGAAATATTTTGATAAAGATGAAGGTAATTTTGCAAAATGCGTCATCTGCGGAATTCTAATTTCATGGGGAGGAATACTGAAAAATTCGTTCAATAAAACTAACATTAGGAAACATCTGAAGCGTTGCCATCAAAAGGAATTCGAAGAGCTAACACAAAAAGAACGAGAAATATTAGAAAAAACAAATCAAATTTTTTAAAAAAAGAGCCCTGAAAGTCAGCCAACAATATCAGCCATTCTTAATAAAACTAATATTTCGAAACATTCTGATCCTAAATCAATAATAATTTCTAAATTTATAGGGGAAATGATAGCGTGTGACCACCAGCCGATTTCTATCTTGGAGGATATAGGCTTTAAAAGGCTTTTACATCATTTATGTCCAAATTACAAAATTCATAATAGAAAGTATTTTTCGCAAGGAGTTATTCCGGGTATAAATGAAAAACTCTCCGAAAAAATTCGTAAAGAAATTTTGGTTGACGATTCTTTTTTATCCTTTACGGTAGATATATGGACTAGAAATTCAGGTAGCGATTCTCACATCTCATTAACATGCCACTATTAAAACAAAATTTTCAACAAATTAATAGAGTTCTAAATGTTAAAACATTTAATGAGTCGCATACAGCAATAAATATTACTCAAATTTAAGATGAAATCATTAATTATTGGGGTATAAAGAAAAATAAAATACACCTAATCATTAGAGATAATGCACCCAATATAACTTTGGCCATGAAAAATGGGAAATTTCAAAGCGTTTTGTGTTTTGCACATAGTTTGCAATTGGTTGCACAGGCAGCAATTTTATCACAGAGATCTATTATTGACATGCTTGCCCGGGTTAGAAAAATAGTAGGACACTTTAAACATTCTTCTATTGCACAAAATTGTCTAAAAGAAATCCAAATTCGATTAAGTCTAGCCCAGCACAAATTAATCCAGGATGTGCCCACCCGTTGGGATTCTACCTATTATATGCTCGAAAGATTGATAGAACAAAAAAGGGCGGTACAGCTGTTCATTATCGATAATCCTAATTTGGGAAATCTCTCATTATATGAGTGGGAATTAGCAGAAAGGGTAATTGATGTTCTTGAACCAATTCAGAGAGTAACAAAAGAAATAAGTACTGAATCATGTTCAATTAGCAATGTTATACCCTTTGTTGAAATTCTGAAAAGTGAATTAACAATTAATGGGGACACAGATAGAGGTGTGCAGACTATGAAGAATACCACTAATAATCAATTAACAACTCGGTTTTTTGATATTTATGATGATGATAATTATGTTGTCGCTCGATATAAGGATTTCTTTTTGCCAAAAAACATATCATACATAGAAAAGTTCAGGACTGCTTGTGAGTCTTTTTTTAAAGGTGATGATAATGTTCAACTTCCATTTTCTAATAAAGATTCACCAGGTTTTATATTTTTTAAAATAAATTTAGATTTTATTGTTAACTTAGGTAATGACAATGAGAAAAATGTTCCACATAACATTAAAAAATGCAAATTTAATTTAAGGGATGCTTATAAATTGAAAATCAAAGAAAAACTAGTAATAAATTAAATCGATAGTAATGTAAATGATAACCTGCCATACCTAATAGAAATCAAGGAATTTTTAAAAGAATCTTTATATATAGAAAGTATAACAACATATTTTTCATATTAATTTAAATATTGCTTGGTTGGGCTATGATTGACCCATTTGTTTGGGTGATTTTTCAAGATCAACAAAAGATTGGGTTTGTATGAAACCCACTATTTTATAAATGCTAATTTTATATTTGTGTTATTTATTTAGAAAACTCGAATAACATTGATGATATTGATATTATATCCCCAGTGAATCCACTTGAATATTGGAGAGTTAATGCTGTAAAATATCCAACTTTATCAACACTTGCACGTAAATTTTTGGCTCCTCCAGCAACAAGTGTCCCATCTGAGTCTGCCTTCAGTACGGCAGGGGATATTGATAGTCCTCATCGTAGAAGCCTATTGCCTGAAAATCTAGAGGCTCTTATATTTATTTAAAAAAATCTAATATATTATAATTTTATATATTAAATATTACATTTTATAAACCAACATAAAATGGATATATTATTATATATTTTTTTTTAAATTATTGTTGAAATAAAAAAATTAAATTGCATAAAAAATATTGATTTATTAATTACATTTTGTTCAAAGAGGGGTGGTGAAAAATTAATATAAATATCGGATCGGTTTTGAACTAATATCGGATCGGATCGGTGAAAAATATGGATCGGCACAGCCCTAGTTACCTTATTATGTATTTTAAATTTCTTTAGAAGGTTTGAAATTGTTTCAGCTAAATAATCATATGTGTTTGCTAGTTAGCCTTTGGAAAGCTAAGCATGCCGATTTTCTTTCTAAAAGTGACAGCATCTAACCAGTGTACAGTCATGCCTAAAAACGAACTAATAATATAAAAAAATTGATATATTCAAATTTTAATGTACAAAATACCGATGGTATGATGACCATGAATCTGCTGTGATGCAAAGAATTGTTTGATTGCCTAAACAAGTTATCATTTTATTTATCATGATATTATAATCTTTTGATATTTTTGACACAAGGGTCGGGCGTGACATAACCTTTTTATTTGGTTGTAATGTGGTTATCATTTTTACAAAAGCAGGTTTTTCAACAATATTAAAAGGCTCTAGTTCTTCTATAATGAAGTTAATTATTGCATCATCATTTGTGATTGAATCACATTTGATGCATTTTTTTATAATTTAAGAGTGTCTGTTGTTTAAATTTCTCAGCCTTTACTTTTTTTAAAATTGTATCACTATAATTTGTTAAATGATCATTAATTTCTTGCATCATACTATCATGATAACTCTGTAAAAATTAAGGAATTTTTGATAAATTATGCTACAGATAATATTATTTTATTAAATTGGTAATAGCAAAGTTATGACTTATAAAATAATTCTAAAATCAGTGTTTGGCAGTACCACGATACAAGATCCTTTTGTATCTTGTACTCAGTACTTTTTGACATTTTTAACTAGTCTGAAAAGAATCTTTTTTTTCTTGACAAAAGATATATTCTTTTTAATATTTATGTTTTTTAAAATTTTACATATCACAGTATATATCTTATTTTCCCCTATTTTAAATACATTGACAAACAAAATTAGCTCCCATAAAAATACTAGCTTCCCTTTCATATCTATGCTAAGAATGGTCTAATACTAATATTAAAATGCCTTATTATAATTAACTATATATATATTATGTAATTATTTTTACTTAGAACAATTAAAATAAATTATTAACTGGCTATATAGTTATACATATTATATAATATAAAATAATTAATGTTACAATCAGATGTCTTTTTAAATTGGAGCTTGGACACATTTTACATCTGGTAACTATTGAATTACCTTTTGATTTTAAAACAGTGAAATATTTTTGATATTTGGGCCATGGTAATTCTAATTCATCTAATATTGAATTTTGATTTTCAGAATCTGATGATGAAATATTGATATCCATGCAAATGCTAATCTATTAAATTAAAATATAAAATATTCAAATTAATAAACTTTAATCTTATCTTCTCTAGCAGTAGCACGTTATGGTACGTTAATTGCAATATGAAAGAGGAAAAAGTAAAATATAAGACTTTTTTGTTAAAAAATTGGATTAAATATTAATTTTTCAATTAAATAAAAATATAAGACTTTTTTGTTAAAAATGCGGATTAATATTAATTTTTCAAATAAATAAAAATAAAAAGTGTTTTTAAAATTGAACGAACGTAAAATTGAACGCGTTCATCAAAGAAAAGAAACGCGTTCACGTTCAAAGTTCGTCAAAAAAAAGGAACCATCACCTTTTTCAAAAAAACGAACTTCGTTCACGAACGCGTTCATTTTGTATAAATGACACATCAAATCTAATATCATAATGGCAATGTTGGTTACCCAAGTTAGTGTGGAAAAATATTTTTCAACATTTAAATTTATATCTTCTTATAAATGAAATTGAGTGAGACGAATCTTGAAAATATATTAATTAAAAATTATTTCCGAGATATTTAAAATTGAAAATAAATTATACGCATTTTCTCAATTTTCCGTTTCTAAGAAAAAATATCTCTAGAAATGAGTGGCTTTAGGAAATTTTTTTTAAAATTTAATACGTACTCAATTTAACCTTATATATTTTTTTAATAAAAAGGGGATGAAAATGGTTATTTCAACAATTTTTCGCATAACAAATCAAATTCTAAATCTCATTCGAATAATAAAATCCGTAATAAACAGTACTCTGAAGGTTGGGTAGAGTTTAAAAACAAGAGAAAAGCCAAAAAGGTGGCGAATATGTTGAATGGAACTCCCATAGAAATTCATAAGAAACGAACACCGTATAACGGAATGTTATGGAATTTAAAGTATTTGAGTGGATTTAAATGGGGACATCTTTCGGAACAATCAGCTTACGAGAGAGCATCAAAAGAACAGGCCTTGAGAACGGAGGTCTTTAAAATAAAAAGGGAATCCCAGAATTATATAGAAAAACGGGAGAATGAAATGAAAAGATCGTTCAATCATTCTAATAAATCTAACACTGAATTCCAATCGCAAGGTAATACGAATACGCGTGATACATTTACGGACTCAAAAAATAATCGTATAGATGAGAAGCAAAAACAATTACCTACGATGAATTTCGATATTAAATTGTTATTATCTATATTTGATTAACTTTTTAAGCTTGATAAGTATAATATATAAACGAAATCTAATAAAGCAGGATTTTAGAAATAATTTTTAAATAAAAGCATTACCGATTTTTTAAAACGAATATTTCTATTTGATTATCCAATTGGGATTTTTCGATTCGGTAATACAAATATAAATTTGAATGAATAATTGTAAAAAAATTAATCACTCATTATCATAAATATGATTGCTAAAAAAAATTAAAAACAAATATACAAAATTATTAACATTTAAAAATATTATTTATTCGAATCTAATATTTGTGAATACTAAAATAAAATTATTCCAATATGAAAAATTGTTCGATTCTAATATATGAAATATTCGTTATTTTCAAATAATATACTTTTTTTATACCAATTTTAATAAGTTTATGACAAAGTGAAGCATATAAATATCATTTATTATCTAATCTTCTTTTTTTAGCATCATTTCATTGAATTTAACATTCACAATACATAATATTCATTTTAAAAAATGCAAGTTATTTAATTAACTAGAGGAAGATGGATCGAATAAATTTGTTAAACCAATTTCATTATTTTCTTCCATGTTTCGATTCTTGTCGGGCTGGATAGAAAGAGAATTATCAAAATTACTCCGCAATGGGTTAACTATAGTTGCATTGGCATTTATGTAATTTAAAGATTGACTATTGCTATCAGTTAGACGAGCTGCAATATTTAATGAAAGTGTTGTCTCTACTTTCTTAATAATTTTATTTCTATTATCTACTTTATAAATGCTTTTTGACTTATTTCGCTCAATCGAAGATGTTGATTTCGCATTCTTTGAAAAAAATTTGGTTTGTCGATTTGAGTCAGCTGCTTTGTGTTTTTTTTGCGGCATTTTGTCTAACAATTTTTTCCTGGAAACGTCACTATCTATATCCTCAATCAAATTATCATCGATTTCACAATCATTTTTATTGTCATTGAATAAAAAAAATTTAAAGATGTCTCGTTTGTATTTAAAATTTTTGGTAGAAGTGTAAGAGGAGCAGAGAGTATTCAAGTATTCCATGTATGAAGGGTATAAGGCTATGTCAAAATCGACCAATATCTTGTCTGCTAAAACTTTAATGCGCTCATTGTAAGAATTATAAACGGTTTTATATTCATCATTTTCATAGTTAATTATCATATTAACTGATGTATCTTGCCATTTTTGTCTTGCGTATATAAAGCTTATAAGACTGGAGTCAAGTAGTTCAGAATTTAAGGGTCGAAGAATTTGATATGCCCATAAAGCTAAATTTAAAAAATTAGGATCTATATCTAAGTTACCATCAGCGTCATTTGTATTGAAATCAGTATGCTGATTCATAATTGTAATTGGTAAAGTATAGGGAGGAAAATTATTAATTTTAAACAAAGCCTTTAATATATTATTCATTATAAAAGATTTGATTCGATCAGAATCGATATAATAACTGGCTTGATTGGCATCGAATCCATGACCATCTTCAAATTTTTGACTTATCAGCTTTTTTAAAAAAAATAGTTTATAAACATTATAAAATATTACCTCTCTTAGAATCGCCTTGGATAATAACATAGCTTTCCCAGACAAACTCTTATCTTTAGCTGATAATGTACGAAATATAACTGGTATCAAAACGTTGATTAACGTCTACAACAATATCAGAATTATTTTTAAAATATTTGAATACCTGGTTTTTCATAATAATTTTTCCTAAATCACCCATAACGTCAGCCGACCAGTTATCAGGAATATATTTATTTTTATCGTTCTTTAGATCTTGAATTGTGGCTTCTTCATTACTTTCATTTTTATATATTTCTTTGACTTCCGAAATTACGTCTAATAAAATTTTTACTATTTTTAACTGATATTAATTTAACTTTTTCTTTTTTTGATAAGTATTAGTAGGAGAAATTCGAAATATTCTTTAGAATAGGTTCTTAATAAATAATCATCAACGATACCTCTGGATTCATTGTCAATGAGTTTTAAACTTGTGGGTTTATTGATTTAAAATATTTTATGTTTATGTATAAATTTTTTTTAAATAAAATAATCCTTATAATTAATTGCATAATATTTTTAAAAAAATTCTTCTATATTTAACAATTTTTTATAATTTAATTAAAAATATTACCTTTTGTAATCCAATTCATTTTTCACTTCAACAATGCTATTATAACCAATAATATCGATTGTATTTAACACCAGAGTTGGAAAATATTGATCACCAGGAATGATTGAACAATAATCGAGCTCTTTATCAACTAGGCATCTCCTAGTCCAATTTAACGCATAAATCTGGGATAAACGTTTAATAAATCCGGTCTGAGTTGAGATAAAATTTAGCAAATTAAAATTTCGTGTTTCGTTACTGAGAGAACAGTTGGTAAATAAGGGCTTAGCAAAATTGATTAGACAGCATTTAGCTTGGAACAACGTTGGGATAGGGTCGTCTATATGTCGATTTACGAGTTCACTCTTTATTGTAGGATAAAAGTCAGGTGGCGTATCGAAAAATGATCCGGAAAAAAAATATATGGTATTTTGTTCGGTGTTGCTAAACCAGAGTTGGCCAGAATAAAAATCGGATGAAAACGATTTACTTAAGCCTGATGGAAAATGTAAAATCTTTTGAAAAAGCCCGCCTAGAATGCGATATATTCGATCGAGATTGCAATTGAAGAATTTATTAACCTCGAGCAATCTCTTATACATAATATCGCCATGACCGGTATTGAAACTTTTATCTAAGTAAGATGGGCCATTAGAACTTAAGTTGGATGAAAAGTTGTTTAGTATATTACGTTTTTCTGCTTCAGGAACATCTAGTACAGAAAAAATGCTTAAAACATTGTCTGAACTATTATTTTTTAAAAGATACATATCATAGTAATGCTGGTGCAAGGAATAATCGTTATTTTTCCCAGTTATTTTGAATGAAGAATCAAACAATGAGAGTGTGTTTTGAGCGAATTGCATAAATGGACTCAATAAATGTTTAAATGCATCAAAGATATATTTGTGGGTTTTTGTATGTTTACCATCAGGATCGGCAAAGCATTCCGCGAACTCGTACCTATTGACGACTGTAGCAAAGGCTAATAGCGAGTAACCGGTCTACACATAAAATAATCGTATTAAATTGGAATTTTAACCATCCGAGTTTATTAGTAAATAAATTTGAAAATAACAATATCACAATGTAAAAATTTCAAATCAATAGGTAAATAATTTCAATCAATATAAGAAAGATTTGATATTACATAAGAAAAGATAGGTTTTATCCAAAAGGAACATTTATGAGACTTTAAATAAGGTGAAAATTATGTTTTAATATAGGTAAAATCGAAATTAAAATTTGTTAAATAGCATAAAAAATAATAGTTTCTATAAAAAGTATATTATTAACTCTAAGAATGTTTACATATCTAATAAAGTTACGCGATGTTTTTTAATAAAAAGGATTCTGGTGAGATTCGGACTCGGAATCTCCTAAATATAGTCAAAATATCCATTTTCAATAAGCAAGGTCGCGCTAGGTAATTGTATATTTTTTTATAAAACGGTCTTTATGGGCATATATGCCACTTTAATAAGTGAACAAATACAAGAATATTGATAAAGGCGGTCATCATGAATTTAAATTGTCAGTTCTTCTTATACCATTATTCAAGTAAGTTTATTTTGTTTCATTAACATCGTTCAAAGTTCATTAAAATAATTAGCGAAGTGATGTCTCCAGGCTTAGACTAGATCGTTTATCGATAATATTGCATATATAAATAATGGGGTTTTGTTGACTTGTTACCTAAAAAGTTTTCTCAGGAAAAATCAACTATGGTATCATTAAATATGAAAATTATTATGTGTTCATGTGAATACTGCGATTTCTTTAATTTTAATCCGATTTCTTTTTGTCAAGTACTATATCAAGATTCCTGTAATTGTATCGTTTAATGGACGTTAAACTGTCTCATCAACTGATGGGAAATTGGAAAAAACTGTCTTGCGAACATTGGACTAAACAGTACTAACCCATTCCAAATCAATTTTAGATATTGTATCATCATATTTAGTTAATTTTTTTTACCTATAAATATAAGTATAGGATAAAGATAAAAACACTGTTGGTGTCTTTGGCAATAAAAAGATGTTACTAATAGATCGAAGTTATAATACCGGAAAATAAGTTCAGGCCACCAGAAAATGTACCTCAATCGTAAAATTTTAAATAAATTTTTTATTATTTAATATTTGCAACTTCACATATTATGAGTTCATAAAATTTTTCTCTTGCATACGAATCACATGATATCGTAAATATAAAATTCTTTATTTTTATTTGTATCATATATCATAAATTTATTATAACGTTAAATTATTGTATTTTGCCATTTTAATATTTTTTTAATTGATTCAAATTTCCTTTTACGGGAAGAATAAACGGTATTGTAACGATTGTATTTTTATGCGCAAATAATATATAATGTAATTTTTCTATCATATGAAAATATAATTTACAAAATTTATATTATAGCGAAGATGTACCGACAGCCAGCATTTTTTACTTTTTGCCAATATCAAATATTTTGGCTGAAATTTTGAACTAAAAAAATTAATTTTTCATTGCAAAATATATATATTTTTATAATTTATAATAAAAAAATTTTTGCGCCCAAACCCTCTTTTAAATATTACAGCTTTAAAACTTTTAAGAAATATAATGATAAAGTTATGAAAAATATGTTATGGCCATATTTTTATTTTCGTATCATACAAAGTATATGTATTCGACAAAGTTTTGAAAATTTTCGAATTAATTTTTTTGATATTTTGATCACAACCTAATAAAAAAAAGCTTGTGCTTCCCTATATTTTCAGGCTGATATTAAATTTTTTAAAATACCTTTATTCTCTTCTTAGAAAAGAAAGTTTCAAAATACTTTATATTTCCCGCCTGATTGCCGCCCCTCTATCAAAAGAAACGAATCACAATCAGAAAGAAAATCATCAAAATAATTTTTATTTCATCATTGGCTGACTGCGGTATTTGAAAAGTGGCTCAGTGGTAACTCTGTACATCTTAAAATGAAAGAGTAATTTTCCGAAAAATCAATAAAGACTGGCAATATTGAAAATTCAAGAAGTCCCTCTTCCAAATAATTTTGAGAAACAAATTTTTATTTGATTTAAATATTAATTTTATTACATTCTAAATAAAATTTAAATGGTTATAATATTGTGTCAATTTTTTAGTAATATTTTAATATTGGCATCAACCTGATACCAGACATTTTCTAGTATCGGTATGAAAAATAAGTGGTGTCGGCGCATCTCTGTGTTATAGTGAACCTTATTGTAAGGATAATCTGATTTAAGTCCACCACCTATATCTAATGTCAATGGATCTTTGTTTAGGCCAAAAAAATTTATAAAATTTTTAACAGAAGATAGAGCACCACTTCTGAATTCTGCGGAAGTCCAGAATTGTATAGGCATGTGCAATAAATTCTATAATATAATTATAACACATATAAAATAATATGATTTTTAATAACTTGATAAAATTTTAATTTTTCTTCAGAGAATTCTTGATTTTCGTTCCAAAGAAGAATTAAAGATTCCAATAATGCGAATTTATGAGTGTATGTCAAATTTGTTTCGTCACTAAGGTTCATAAAATATATAAATGAAAATTCATAATTTAACATTTAAAAAAATAGGACAATTATTACCGTATAATATAATATATTTTAATAGCATTAACATGTGATATCGTCATGGTATAAAAATTTAATACTATACCATTGTATAAATTCTATATTATATAATGTATGTATAAATATATTGCTTATTAATTTTACAAGTACAATAAAATAAAACTAAATTTTGACCAAAATTGGATTAAAAACACAATATACAATAAAATAATTTAATGTTATTTTCAATTAAAAAATAAATTAGTATATAACTGTAAAAATATTGTTGTTTCTTACTTTAGGAAAATGGATATGATACAAGATTTGATGTAATCAAAATGTGGTTTTAAATTTATTGTATTATTTTGAGATAAAACTATGAGTAATGCACATGAATGGCGAATCAGCTCCTTGCGAGAAATTTTATATGAATATGGTTTGCATAAGTCATCTTTAATGTCATCTCCATTTTCAAGATATTTAAAAATCTGCAAATTAATAAATTATGTGAGAGGGGGTGATATACAGTGCTGACCAGATTGGATGAAAAACATTTTCATATTTTTTAATTTATTCAAAAATAAAATTATTTGACTTGCAAAAAATTGTTAAAATAACATATTTATATATTCCTATCAATTTTTACAAGTTAAATTATTTTATTTATAAACAAATTAAAAAATATGAAATTTTTGAATTAAATCTGCACAACACCTTATATAATGATACCTTTTCCAGAAGGAGTCGAAAATAGTGTTGTGTTTTAGAGGGTGGAAAAAATGATAAAATTGATTTAAAATTGGATAGGCAACTCAATATATATGAAAACGTTTGGGAAAGATCATTATATTCCTCAATTTTATATATAGGAAAACAAGCTAGAGCTTGATCATTACTGAATTTATTGATAACATTGTCTATACTTAATAACTTTTGATACATGATCAAAAAATTATCTTTCACCTAAATAAAAAAAAATATATTTATAAATTTAATAAATCACTTCATTTGAAAGTGTAAGAAATTGTGCCTCTGACAATTTCTTGTATATAGCTGTTACAAAAAATAAACATTCCCAACTTATACATATGGCATTTAGATTGTAGTCGTTTAGATTTGAACTAGTCATTTTATAGATTCCTTCCATTTTAGTATTGCAGAAAGATATAATGATAGATAATATTTCATTGGGCCAAAGCCGACTGATATCAATCAATAAAAAGCGAGCCTCTTGACGAGCTTGATTAGTGAATTGACAAAATTCTTCTACATTTGTCTTTGAAGTAATTTTGGGGAATAACTTGGCTTTCTGAAAAATCTTGTTGCCATCATTTTTAACATCTTCTTTAAGGGTATTATCATCATTGGTATCTATGGAATCATCTTCATTTTCATAATCCTTAATATTAAGATTCAAGTGCTTTTCTGATAAATCTATATGAAAATCTTGCTGAATAAAGTAACACCATAAAAGTAACCTAAATTGCTGCAATTTTGTGATATCAGTTGTGTCATTGATCATATTGTTGATATTTTGAGTGATAGAATCCTGATATTTTGCGAGTATGGAAAATGTATAGGCTGGTTTCTCAATGTGTAAGGGAATTAAAATAAATTCAACAAAATTTAGCATCACTTTTTGAATATAATTTATGGCATCACTGTTTTCAATATTACTATTTAATAAGGTAATTTTTGGAAGGGTTAGCTTGTCTAATTTGCCTTCACAAATAGATAATTTACATGTTATCTCTTTCCACAAAGTGAAGATTATAGGATACGATTCCCAATTAGGGTAATAGGATATGGCGGTAAGTAAATCAATACACTTTATTTCTATATTTGATAATCCATTTGATTGTTGTGGTAACAAAGCATTACTTGAAAAAATAGATACATATTTGGAGGATTTATTAATGGCAATTAATAAAGGAAATAAAATGTGATGAATTAATGGGATGCTCATTTTTATTGCCATCTTAGATTCCTCTAATTTTTCTTTTTCAATTTCAACTAACTTTTGAATTAAAGGTTTATTTAGAGTGTTAGGATTATAATTAATGATGAATGCAATTATATCAATCATTCTGTGACAATATTTTATACAAAAAAATAGTTGCCCTGTTTCATGTAAAATCTTTAAAAATTTTGATAAATCCTATAAGCATTTAAAAAATATAAATGTCACATATTAATTAATATAACCTTTTTATCCAATATTTTTATTATTATTTCCAATGCTTTTTTTCTAAGATTATAAGTTTGACAGGTATATAAATTTTCATTATTATGATTCAAAAATTGAATAAAGTAAGGCATAATATGTCTGATAATAATTTTACCCATTGGACTTTCTACTTGAAAATCAGTATTGGAAAAATTAAACCATTCACAATAACTATTAAGTGTCTCGAATAATTCCATATAAGTTTTATGTGTGACATAATCAAAATTATCATTAGTTTTAATATTTTGAGTTTTAAAATGTATATTGTTCATAGTTTCGAAGATCGTTTCAAGTATTTCAGAAAGTCTATAATTATATCTGTTACTCATCATAAATTTCTTAATATAATTTATAGCATAATTTGAGGTGGATGCTTCTGAATTAATACAAAATAGTACTAAGTTTTCAGAAAGGTAAAATAATATTGTATTAATAAAGCTGATCTTAACAACTACTGATTGATATAATTCAATAAATTTTGAGTTTTCATAGTTTGCATTCTTAAAATCATTTGGTATATTAGAATCATTAATAATATTTTCACAATATTTTATTATTCCTGGTAAAAAAACAGCTATTTCCTTTTTACAAATTTCAATAATAATTTTTGCAATAATATCTTTTATAAGGCCATAAATATAATATTTCTTAACATAATTTATTTCATATAATTTTGATAGATTACATATAGGTATTGCATCATTAAAGTTTGAATCCTAAATATTAGCAAATATATCTATGATTATTTCTATATTAACTTTTATTTTCATCATTATTTCAGTTATAAAAGTTCTAATATGTTGTGTCATTTGATATGATAAAGTTTCCCATAATATTTCTACAATTTCCTTTATCATTTGATACCCATATAAGACAATTGGTATATCATTATCTTGTAAAATATCCGTTTTGGCAATTTTTGTGGCATTCTCAACAATATTAGAACCTTTCTTAAATTCTTCTAACAACTGTAAACTTTTTATTACAATTTTTAAATATTTTTCATACCTGATAAGCTTTTATCCGATTATCGTTTGATTCAAAAAGATTATTTATAGTTTTAATTGCCGATCTAATATTTAAAAAAAAACATTGCTCCATAGTAGATAGGTGTGTATAAACGTTTGTAAGACTTATGCTAGGCCATAACCACGAGGAATATTTTTGTGTGATAAAAAAAAAGAAAAAACACAATTTATTTGTGCAATTTTTTATTATTACTGCAATTCTTATGGAAAACAGAAACTCTATGTTACAAAATTTTTATTACTACAATCTGTCATTGAATCAGTAACGGTCTTTTTACATGTAAAACTCAAAATTTTGAAAGTAATCTGGAATAATAATATATTACATCTTTGTGAATATGGTCTATTTAAATATAATCCAAAGTATTCGAATATATATTTGCTTGTTTTTACTAACCTTTTCAAAAAAATTTTAATATACTAGTAGAAAGCCCATTAAAAATCACGGGGAATGAGAATTTTATTCGTTTTTTTACGATTGATGTTACCTTTTATTTAAAAATCATATCCAATTTATATTCTTTTAACCCTCCCCCCCCCTTTCACATTTAGATCAAGTCCAAAAAACGTCATTGAGTCCAACCCATTAGGATTAAGAGTGGAAACTATTTTTTGAATCAAACTATATTTAAATGAGCTTTTACCCCATATCAAAATTCTCAAGCAAGGTCCAAGCTCACAAAGGCGCGTACACAATGGTAGGGAAAGGGGCCAACCCCCCCCCCCCCCCCTCTAAGCCAAAAACTGCAAATATGCCGGATTATATTTTTAAAAAATATTATTGTTATTATTACTTTATATTTGTTAATATTTATTCCGATATCATATATATATTTAATTACATTTATTTATCACATTCATCTACTAATTTATTTTATTAATTAATTTCGATTTCATGTTTTCCTTGGCGTAATTTACCTAATATTTTCAAATTTTAGTGCCTTATTATTTATCTAAATTTCTAGTAAAATAATAATTAACTCTGAAACTCCTTGTCCAGCGTCTACCTGACAGGATATTCACTGGAGGCAAACCCCCCTGAAAAATATATATCTACCCCCCTAAAAAAAACCCGCCACCTTAGGCGGCGATGTTGTTTTATAATTAAATATAAATGTTGAAATATACTAGTTTTATTAAACTATTGCCACATGTTTATTATGATATACTTGAATAAACATTTATATAGTAATATTTCGAAAACAGGGAATTATAAAGAATAATTATTGGTATAATAAATTTAAAAAAAATATATATTATAATTGTTACATAATATATTTTAATATTGTACATATTTATAATATGACATTATAAATAAATGTGAAGCAAAAAGCTATGTATAAATGACTAATAAGGGACTAGTAAACAAAATTTATTAATAGTCTTAATTTTATAAATTTATTAAAATATAAAAAAAAGTAAATTATAATGACAAATTCCTAAATTTATTTGTTTAATATAAAAAATATGGATTAGGCGATTAAAAGATTAGATAGTCTTTTTGAGGTTAGTGCAAAATCTGTTATAATATCTACCGTTCTAAATGTATCAAGTATATCAATTTCACTTGATATTAATAATAAATTTTCTAAAAAAGCATCAGAAATTTTATTTCTTATACGCGTTTTAACAATTTTAACTTTACTCATGGCTCTTTCAGCAGAGCATGAGGTAGTTGATAGAGTTATAAGATGTTTATATAATGTTTTTAAAGAAGGAAAGGTACTCAATATTATTAGTAATCGATATAGTAGAATAAATGAATAGTTGAGCCATCTTTTTGTATTTGTAGTTTTAGTATCTTTTACGTTTTCATCTATAAATATATTAAAATTAAGTTATAATATAATTATTTACTTTAATCATATAAGGCATATTTTTCTAATATTCATTAGATCATTACTATAAATAATTGATGAGGAATTTAAGTATAGTGGTCTGAAATTAGAAAATTCATCAACAATCTTCTCTGCTTCAAAACCATATAAAGAAACTATTTCAGATATTTGGGAAATTTCTATAATTTCATTCTCTACTAATCCAGCAGGAGTGAAAATAGAAATCTGATTTAAAAAATTTAATGATTGATAATCAAATCTTTCATTTAAGCGTTTAATGATCATATTAATTATTGGGTAAAAATTTTCATTTTAATATCTAAAAATGTAAATATTATTTTTGAAATTTTTTTTAACTTCTCTTTTTTGTTATTCCATAAAATTATCAAACTCTGTTTGATCCAGCTTAAATAATGATTTTATATTATAAATATCTGTTATACATCTTTATGTAATTTAGAGAAAATATTATCACCAATTGCTTAATTAAAAAATATAATTAAACATATAGATAATATTTTGCCCCTTAATCTTTGGAATTTATTTTTCGTATGTTGAATTAATTTATTCACCATGGCTACATTTCCAATAGCCTGCATTTCAATACAGGTTTCATGTGTATATTTTAGGTGTCTTTTTTTGTAATGTAAATTAATTTTGTCTTTTCTAATTTTCTTGGAATTACAGCTTGTATGCAAGCATTTTACTTTATATGATATTTCATTGCTTGGCATCTAACAATGTATATCCAATATAAAAATTGATTTAATTAAAATATAATGTTATAAAAAATGTTGTAAGGTTGATATTTAGCAATCTATTAATATTATAATATGTCTATAATTGTATTATAAATTATTATAGAAAATTTTATCCATATATAAATTAAAAATGTCATAGATAATATTCTAGATAATTTTATCCCACAAAAAAACTTATACTTACCCCTTACCCCCTGCGTCTACATGAGCGGGAGGGGTAGGAACAGTTTGCATCCTATTTTTTTTGAATGGGTAGGGGCTAAGCTGCTAATGGGGGTAGGATAAATTTTTTTAGGGGGTTATCTATTAAATTTTGAGATGAAATAAGACAAAATTTATTGCTGTAAAAATTAATACTTTTATTATAGTATTATTATAATACAATTCATCGACCAAATCTATATATTGCAAACAATCATACACATTGTTTTCCAAATAAACTATCCTTTTAAATATAATTTAAAAGGTTTAGATATTTCAGCAAGCTCATAATGCCATAATAATTAATTCATTGTAAATAATGGAGGTTTTAATTAAATTTATTATCTAAAAAAGAAATTCTTTATATTCACAAAATATCGATAGTTGGTAGTAGAGATAGATTAATTTAAGTTATCCTTTATAAATTATTTTAAAAGAGTATCAATAAATAAATAGGTAAAAATAATAATAAAAAGACATTGCCGCCGAAGGCGGCGGGAATTTTTTAGGGGGGTAGGCCAAGGTTTTTGAAGGGGGTTTGCATCCAGTGAAAATCCTGTCATTACGCTGCCTACCCCCTTTTAGATATTAAGATGCAAACTGTTCCTACCCCCCCCCCCGCTTATGTAGAAGCTGTCCTTGTCCAACAGGGTGAAAGAAATTGCAAGCTTGTCCAACGAGATCGAGTCTCCGCCATTAAGCAGTAACAGCTTTTATGGAGTTAGAAGAGCCGATTACTAATGCTATTACTGAAATATCACAATGGCTTGAAAGAAATATTTCCTCAGAAGCAAGAAAATTATTGGATTCAATACTTACTCCAAATTTATTTTCTCATTAGAATGTATTATTTAAATATACAACTATTTTATGTAATACTTTTCAAAAACATGACATTGACTTGATTAAGAAGATAAGAATAGCCGATAGCATTTTATTAGAACTCAAGGAAATTAGAGCTAATGTTGATGAATTTCATATTTTATATGTTATTGTTGTTGTGTTTCAACACTGTTATAATTTATATTATCCTTTATTTGTACGATATAACTTGTTTATCATTTATATTTTTCTCTTTCTTTGTACAATATTCGTATATAACCATTTATATTTTTCTTTGTTCACTTATATCGAGCCTGTTTTGATATCATCCACAAAACTGGTTCTAGCCTGTTTTCGAGATGGACAAGGATGAAATTAATATTTGTTTATTATCGTTTAATTGAAAAAAGGGGGACTATATAAAGACCTCGGATAAATGAATTGTGATCATTAAAATATTTGATTTTGTTTTGCTGTTTATAATATGATATGATATAAAATTGATGTTTTACTGTTTGATTACTAATAAAAATAAATTTGTGTATCATTATTTCCCAGTCTTAGTTACTGGGATTCCATTATTAAAATGATATCCAAATCCGGTACCCCCGTCCTCATTGTCGACCATCCCAGACCCCCGAATTCGGACAATATCTTACCTTCCCCGACGATGGGACCCGTCTGTCCAACCACAAAACTGGCGCCCAACGTACATTCGATACCCTACTATCAAGAGGAAGCCACCGACCAATATCTCGAACGGTTTATGCTCATCAACCGTAACCAGACGGAAGAAATTTTTTAGCATTATTCATATCTTCATGCGGCCAGCGTCTACATGGCGAGGGGGGGGGCGGGTAGGTTAAGAATGCCTCCAAAATATATTGGCAATTTTGGTGGTAGATATTGATTTTGGGGGGTTGATATTGATTTTGGGGGGTTGATATTGATTTTGGGGGGTTGATATTGATTTTGGGGGGTTGATATTGATTTTGGGGGTTGATATTGATTTTGGGGGATTGATATTGATTTTGGGGGGTTGATATTGATTTTTTGGGGGTAGGCATTAATTTTTTGGGGGTAGGTATTGATTTTTGAGGGTTACGATGGTTATCGTTGATTTTCTGACAAATGTCAATTAAAGTAAATATTATCATTGTTTTTATTAGCTATTTACTTTCATCATGAATTTCACAACATTTCTATTGTATTCGGAAAAAATCGTCTGCGGGAAAATGGTTGATGTTAAATTGTTTTATATATTTTCTTCAGTAGATACATTTAAAATATTTGCCTTTAAAATGCCACCTCCGAGAAATAATGGAATGCCATATCTTTATTTGAATGGAAAAAACATGAATATCTCCCAGGCCTATTTAATTTTTTATTTAATCTTTTATTTTTTATAGATATCTATCGATTCTACATATATTTCTACCACTCACAATTTTATCACAAAATCAATCAATACCCTACTTAATTTATTTCACACTAAATAAATTATAATCACTCATATATTTAAGGCACACTATATTCCTTAAATATTTGCAATGTGACTAAATGCATTTTTTTACAACATGGAAGGCCTGACTCCTAGTCTTGATTCAAAACTCTAGTAGATTCTTTCAAATGCATAGAAGATGATTGGGAGAGTAATGAGACTTTCTTACTATTTGTTGATGATTACATAACTCAAAAGACATCTTATTCAAGTTATTATTTTCATATTTTAATTTTTTATATTTTCTAGATTCAAAGAAATTTTCTTTCTTTTCTCACATTTACATTAATCATCAATCTTTTTCAAAATTATATTATCCTTTTATAATTTCTAAAATATTCAAGCTTATCAAGTATTATTATTAATGTTCTTCATTACTTTCTATTACCTGATTTTTTTTACTTTTATTTAAGCTTCACTTTTCATTTTTCTTTTTATTTTTTAATTTCATTAATACTCACTTTTTCAAATAATATAAATCAGTATTTAAAATGTAACTAAAAAATCACCCTTATCTCCTTAAATATATTAATATCTAGTATATTTTTTTTTAGCATTATTTCATGGTGCCTTTTTTTCTCACTCTTTTTCTCGTCTGCTTTTTTGTTTCTCAATTCTCAGTATCGTCTGTTTCCATTTTTTATCTTTTTCTTCTACTTCAAATATTAAATTCTCCTTTCCAACATACCTTAAAATTAATATTATGTCAATTTCCAAAAATCTAACAATCTATTCCTACAACATTCCTGGCCTACAAAAATAACTATTCTTAGGAAACTCCTTGATCAATATGATATTAACATTATTTTAACACAAGAATCTCTTATTATCAATAATATAAAAAAAAATTAAGAGGTTTTACAATATTAAACTCTAACCTCTCTACTATCCATAATGGTGTTGCATTCATCATCAAAGACTCATTTCTGAAATTTATTTCAAACTTCATTCCATTCAATGATAGAATTGCTAGTATTACTTTAAATTCTAAAGGTAAAAAAATTCACCTCATTAACATCTATGAACCAGTTAAACCTTCAGAATATCCTTCCTTCATTTCCTCCCTGACTAGTCACCTTAAACAAATTAACCCCAATCACTTCATAATTATTGGAGGAGACTTTAATATAAAAATAGGTAATGAAAATATTGATTACATAGTAGGTCATGCAGCTCTAAATCAAATTACTAATAATAACGGCAAATTAATAATAGAAATATGTAATAAATTCAACTTAAAAATTATCAATACCTTTTTCAAACAAAAAAACAATAATTATTTCACCTTCTTTAAATACAACTCGCCTTATAAAAGTCAACTTGATTTCTTTATCACCAGCAGAAAAATGTCCTCATTTATCCGTAATTTCTCCATCTTAAATGATTTCGACTTTCTCTCAGATCACCGTCCTATTTTCCTGAACCTATTCATCAAACCTTACCTATTGAAAAATCTTAACAAATTTAAGATCAATCAACCTTCCCCCTCAATTAAGAAATCTTCTAGTGTAAATAACTTAGCTATTCCTTCATTAGCCACCAAATTCCACAATGATTTAAAATCAATTCCCACTGACAACTCATGGCAATCTATTCAGAATACTATCATTAAATCAGCCAACTCCCATCTAAATATTAAAACAATTTATCCAGACTGGATTAGTCCCCACACCACCCAACTAATCCTATCTCTACCTGCCAAAAATAAAAGAAAATTAAAAAAGAATGCTTCCATCAAACTCAAATTAAATCAAATCAAAAAATCTATTAAAAAAGACAAACGTAATTACATTTCATCTAAACTCAATCTCATTTCAGACTTTAAACGTTCCAACAACCTTTACGATGTCTTTAAAACTCTCAAATTTATTACTTCTTCTAATGAAAAAAAAAATTCATAACTTAAAAATTGGAAATTTTTCAATCAAAAACCCAGAAGACCAATTAAATATCTTCACAGATCACTATCGATCCCTATTTAACACCAAATTCCCTTCTCCCAAAATAATTTCCTCATCCCAAATCCTATCACACCCCCCTTTCCCTCTAAACAAGAACGAATTTATTACAATAATAAAAAATTTAAAAAATCATAAAGCAACTTCAGACAATACTCATTACGAACTTTTAAAAATCTTCCCAGAAACTATTATTAATCTTCTTTTTCCTACCTTAAATAAAATATGGAACTCAGTCACTTTTCCACCCAACTGGTGTAATTCCACTATTATAAACCTCCCAAAAATCTTCAACCCCTCCTCCATCCATGATTATAGAGGAATTACCTTAACCTCCCCTTATTACAAAATCCTCACAACTTTCAACCTTAATCACATCAAAACAACCATTGAAAACAACACTCACCCTTCTATAGCTTCATTTAGAAAGGGTCGGAATACAATTGAACTTATTACGGCCCTTAAAATTAGACTTGAAAAAGCCCATATTTTTAAAATCGATACCTTTATGATCTTTATAGATATCTCCAAAGCTTTTGATTCACTTAGTCATGAATTTTTATGGAAAATTCTTTTTAAATAAAATATCAATCCTCACTTTATTAAAATCATTATGTCTATCTATGAAAACAATCAAACTAATATCAAACATAACAATCTCAGTTCCTCCTTTTTCATACCTAAATGCGGTATTAAACAAAGATGTCCACTTTCTCCTTATCTTTTTAATCTATTAATTAGTGTTTTAATTCATAACTGTAACTTCAAAAATGTTGATTGGTTATGCTATGCAGATGACATATGTATTATCACTGAAGATCTAAATTATATTAATCACATTTTATCAACAATAACTTCTAATCTACAATTAATGAATTTAAAAATCAATCTTAATAAAACCTTTTTCTTATCATCCTCACCTAAAGTTCAACATTTTTTATTTAATAACAAAATTATCAATTTCAATAACTCAATAAATTATCTTGGTATTTCAATCAATTCCAAAGGTTCAGTCAATCCAAATTTTTCATCTGCATTATCCAAAGCTACAAAAATATTTGACTCTCTCAACAAATTTTGGCATTCCAACCTTATTTCCAACAAATTTAAAATTCAAATCCTATATTCTTCCATCATTAACCTATGGAATATGAGATAACACCAGATCCCATATCAAAAAAACACAAACCTTTATAAATAAATCCCTAAGAAATATTTTATATTAAATATCCTTTAATTATTTCCAATTTTAGTCTTCTTAATACTTGTAATATCCTTCCTTTATACAGACTTTTAACCTACAGAAAAATAGAACTTTTTTGCCATTCTTTAAGACATGAACATCATAGTACCATCTCAGATGCCATTTTATATAAATCATCCAAATCTAAAAACTAAAAACAATATCATCTATATCATAATTCTTGGCTTGGTCATATTTTGTACATTTTGAAAATTAACAATGTCAGCAACTTATTTCTCATTAATATCTCTCAAAACAAAACAGATCTAAAATTTTGGCTTAACCAAGCCATTCTTGATTAATTTTTTTCCTTTTTCATTCATTTATCTAAACTATATTTATCCACTTATATAAAATTAAATTAATATTATTGTACATTTTTATTTATTTATTATTTTTGTTTTTTGAATTGATAAAATTTAAATAAAGTTACTTAAATATCATGTGTCTAATCAAACTCAATACCTCACATCTTTTTATCTTCTTTCTTCTCTTTCCTTTTTATTTTTATCTTTTTTCTCTCTCTTACAATAATTTCTTTATTAACGGATGCCTGCTTTTCCGTGATAGGTACTGTTATTCCTCTTTAATTAAACGGGCCCTGGTAGTAGGGTAAATTACTATCAAATTTTTTTTTGTGAATCTCTGCTTATTCACGAGAGGTACCGTCATCCCTCTTAAATTAAACGGGCCCAGACAGTAGGGTAAATTCTGCCAACAGTGAATGCAAATTCACTGCACTGGAGACGCCCTCTATGGGGTGGTGGAGTGCCCACTTAATTGTGGGATGTCTCCCCAGTGTTTGATAGGATAGGCATGAATTTCACAATGTTATTTATACTAAGTTTTCTATTGTTTTTACAGTCATTATAATATTCTTTTATGATTTCTTCATGTGCTCGCAGATTTATATTAATCTGCATCTATCATGCCTATGAATCTTTCAAGTATATTTTCAAAATGTTTTAACATGATCTTCCTAACAAAGACAATTTATTAATGTTTATGATTAACGCGTTCAAAATTTGTCAATTCCCTTTGTATTCTACATTCACTTGTGCTGTACCTATCACTTGTATCATCTTGCCATTGTATACTTTATGTTGGACTTCATAATATTTTTAATGCCTGTTTTCTCAATCATGTATTCTTGTAGAATTAAAACATTTATTAAAAACTTAATTATAATGTAGTTAAGAAAAAATTACCATTTGGCTAAAATTTTATTAAAAATATAGTTTTTCATAAGGAAAGAAATTAAACACCTCTTTATTTATAGAAAATCTCAATTATTCAAGATTCACAAATTATATTATCTCCTCATCCAATCCCCAGTTCCAGCGAAACGCTTACTTTGCATGATGAGGTATTTAATTTAAATACGAATTATATCATAAATTTTGAAGGAAATAAATTATGATTATGAGGTTATTCAAATATTTCCAACATTTATTAAAAATTTAATTATAATGTAGTTAAGTAAAAAATTACCATTTGGCTAAAATTTCATTAAAAATATAGTTTTTCATTAAAAATATAGTTTTTCATTAAAAATATAGTTTTTCATTAAAAATATAGTTTTTCTTAAGGAAAGAAATTAAACTCCTCTTTATTTATAGAAAATCTCAGTTATTCAAGATTCACAAATTGTATTATCTCCTCAGCCAATCCCCAGTTACAGTGAGGCCCTTACTTTGCATGATGAGGTATTTAATTTAAATACGAATTATATGATAACTTTTGAAGGAAATAAATTATGATTATGAGGTTATTCAAATATTTCCAACATTTATTAAAAACTTAATTATAATGTTGTTAAGAAAAAAATTACCATTTGGCCAAAATTTTATTAAAAATATAGTTTTTCATAAGGAAAAAAATTAAACTCCTCTTTATTTATAGAAAATCTCAGTTATTGAAGATTCACAAATTGTATTATCTCCTCATCCAATCCCCAGTTCTAGTGAGGCGCTTACTTTGCATGAGCTATTTTATTTAAATAAAATTTATATAATAACTTTTGAAGGGAATAAATTATGAGGATATTCAAAGTCCAAGTCTTATTCAGCTATACAAAAAGAAGGAACCAAATGACCCATTTCACTTCAAATTATTTAGGATGACAAATATTTTGAATAATTTCATAATTGCTGTAGGCCCTTGTCAGCCATGTACAAATAAATTCAATATCCTGTTACTTTCAAGAGGTTTTAAATAATATTTAATTTTCATTAATTTTTACCCATCCATTATTTCTATACCAGTTTTAATTTTTTTTACTTTTTAAACAGAAGCATGAATATAACATATTATAGAAAGGTTAATATAAATGGTTCCCTCAACCCCAGAAATTGGCTATCTTATAGCACTACTTTAGACAAAGTCTTTTGTCTATATTGTATTATGTTTGATGGCCCTAAGTCCAATACTTTTTGGACTCAATTTGGGGTAAATAATTGGAAAAACATAAAGCGTGACTTAGAGAGACACGAAGCATCTTCTCTTCAAAAAGATTGTGAATATGCAAACATGACTTGGCTTGCAAATAAACGCATTCAAGATCATTTGCTATCAAATAAGCTTGATATGATCATGGAAAATCGTAATATAGTTCAATAATATCAATGCCATTATGTACCTTATAAAATGTAATATAGCCTTTTGGGGTTCTAATTCGAATGAAGGTAATTTTATGTGTCTCATAAAATTAATGGCAAAAACGGTTCCAACTTTACGTGCATACATGGATAACAACGAAAAATTGCGGAGAAAAAAATCAGATAAAATTTCGAGATCTTATATAAATTTGCTGTCATATGGCCACGTAAAAAAAATAACTGAAATTATTAAGATGAAAATAACAAAAAGCATTATTCAAAAAATTAAAGAGAATCATGCCTATAGCTTCATATTAGATGGAACATATGATGTGTCTAAAAAAGAATGCATAGCTTTGCTTGTACGGTGTATAGAAGATGATCTGCATCCACATCCTGTAGAAAGGATCATACATGTTTTTACAACATCAGAAACCAGTGGGAAAAATATAAAGAAACATGTTTTTTCTAAGTTTAATGATCTTGGTCTTTCTCTTGATTATTTGGTTGGACAAAGTATGGATGGTGCAGGGAATATGAGAGGAGTATACAAAGGAATGCAGGCTTTAATATTGAAAGAGGCTCCAAAAGCCATCTATATTTGGTGCCATGCACATCGGCTAAATTTAGTAGTTGCTCATGTTTGTGGATGCAAAATTGAAATGAAAAAGGCAATGGGAATATTAGATGAGTTATATAATTTTATGAATGCAGTTAGACGTCAAGGTGTGTTTGTTAAATATAAAATGAGAAAGTCCAAGAAATCTCTTAAAAAAATTAAAAACACAAAGGTAAATAAAATATTTTTAATAAAACTGATATATTTTCAGAAATTGGTCATCATCCTACAAATCTGTAGAAATCTTTTTAGATTATGAACATATTTTAGCATCATTAGTTGAATTAAAAGATTCTAATGACCCAAGCACCTCTTCCATTGTCGATGGATTATTATCCAGAATTAAGGATGAAAATTTTATATTAAGTCTATTTATTTTGAAAGAAATATTGAAATGTACACATGAGGCTTGTATAGAAATGCAGGCAGTTGGTAATGATTTGGCTATGGTAACCAAATTAATACAACATACAAAAAATAAATT